GAAATAGTTTCTCTCTTTTGTCTCTATACAATTTGATATACTTTCGCTCTATAAAGTTTAAAATTTTAGATATTTTATCTCTCTAAAACTTAAATTTTGAGATAGTTTTTCTCTAAATTTTTTTGAGATAGTTCCTCACTCTAAAAATTTCATGTACTTTATCTATCTAAAATTTGATATAGTATATCTCTCCAAAATTTTAAAAAACTTTCTCTCTCTAAAAAATAAATTTTGTGATAGTTTATCTCTCCAAAAAGTTTAGAGATAGAAACCAAACTTTTTGAGATAGTTTCTATCTCTAAAATATTTTAGGTAGTTTCTCTCTCTAAAAATTGATATATTTTTATTTTTAAAATTTTAATATATTTTCTCTCTCTAAAATTCCAATTTGAGATTGTTTATCTAAAACTCAAAATTTGAGATCGTTTCTCTCTATAAAAAAACAAGGTATTTCCCTCTCTAATTTTATTTGGCAGTTTCTCTTTCTAGAATTTACAATAATTTCTCTCTAAAAGCTTAATAATACATTCTCTCTCTCTATAATTTTAAGAATACTTTCTCCATCTAAAACTTAAGATTTGATATACTTTCTCTCTTTAAAAATTAAAATATGAGATTGTTTCTCTCTCTAAAAGTTTTGAAATAGTTTATCTCTCTAGAAAATTGAGATAGTTTCTCTCTAAAATTTTGCATGTACTTTCTCTCTCTAAAATATGATAGTTTATATCTAAAACTTAAAATTTGAAATAGTTTCTCTCTTTAAAATTTTGAGAAAATTTATCTCTCTAAAAAAAAATTGATACTTTCGTTCTCTAAAATTTTATCATACTTTCTCTCTCTAAAAGATAAATTTTGAGATAGTTAATCTCTCTAAAAAAATTGATACTTTTCTCTCTAAAATTTTAACATACTTTCTCACTCTAAAATTTTAACATAATTTCTCTCTCTAAAAGTTAAAATTTCATATAGTTTCTTTCCCTAAAAATGTTGAGATAGTTTATCTCTTTAAAAATTTTAGGTACTTTCTCTCTCTAAAATTTTCATACCTACCCAATGCTCCTCATGTTTCGGGTTGAGGGAGCCATTGAGTGAAATCCATAGGCCTTGGAAATGCAAAAAAACAGGTTTTGGTGTGGAAATGAAATCATGGAAAAGTAGGCCGTATTTCCATGATTTTGATTTTCCTGATTTTATGTATCCTAGTCATTAAGCAATCCAAACGGTGGATTTTGGCAAAATCCAATATATTAGGAATCCATGACTTAAAATCTATGTACCCAAACATGCCCTTATAGGATCCTGTATGGTAATGTGAATCAAACGGAGCTTTGTGCCATTTTACAAGGTATTACTATATGGAAAAAGTATATACAATGATGCTAATTTATAATGTACAATTACGGATGCCCCTAAAAAATCCATCAGAAAAAGGTGGTTTTAATGCTGAAACCTTTAATTGATCATCTCAACATCGAGATGAATGACTATGAAAAATAAAAAAGATGTTAAGTTTAAAAAATAGTGTATTTTACAACATATTATCTACACCGTCCATTTTCAAGATTTTCATAAATCTACATGATTTTAACCCATTTTAAAATTTAAAATTTTATAATTAAGTAGAAAAATAGATTTTGAGATAATGCTAATAACATTTTAGATCAAAATTATATACCATGATAAAATTTGAAGGGCACTGTACCTCTATACCTACGGAGGCGTCCGTATGCCAACTGCACCCTTACTATATTGTGGGATAAGTAGATTGAGTGTCCTCTTATTGCATGGGGCGATTCATTGAAGAATGGGAAAACACAAGCCCCACACACTTGCAGCAACGAAAACACAAGCATCGCTATCGTTCATTATTATTCCGGATTGCGATCCGTGTGCAATAGAAGCCAGCATTATCAGCCGTCGATAAGCTACCAAAATGAATGGATCAGATCCTTTCCCGCAAAAACCATTTCAAAAACCAAAACCCGCCATTGCACTACAAATACCACCCCCGCCATGCCCAAGACCTTCACTCAAAATTCCGCTCTGCGCTTTGCGTCTTTACCCCCATTCCTCTCTCTATCTCTGGTTTTGTATTTGTTCCTCTGCTTTTACCCTAATCCTAATCCATCTCCATGGCTCCCACAAACAAACTGCTCGCAAATCAACTGGTGGTAAGGCGCCAAGGAAACAGCTTGCCACTAAGGCTGCTCGCAAATCAGCTCCTGCAACTGGTGGTGTGAAGAAACCTCACAGGTTCAAGCCCGGTACTGTTGCACTTAGGGAGATCAGAAAGTACCAGAAAAGCACGGAGCTTTTGATCAGGAAGCTCCCCTTCCAGAGGCTAGTTCGCGAGATTGCTTAGGATTTCGAGACGGATCTGAGGTTTCAGAGCAGTGCTGTTGCTGCTTTGCAAGAGGTTGCTGAGGCTTACTTGGTTGGGCTCTTTGAGGACACCAACCTCTGTGCTATTCACGCAAAGAGGGTCACCATTATGCCCAAGGATATTCAATTCGCTCGTAGGATTAGGGGTGAGAGGGCCTGATTGCTCTATGCTTCACTGGATCTAGTTATGTTTTGTGCTTCCATCTGGGGTTTATCCTTGGAGTTATGATTTTGTGACTGGATCTAGGGTTTTTTCTCTGCAAATGATGTGATTTCACATCACTGATAGGCTTGACTAATATGTCAAACGATCCTTAGGTTTGGTTCTTCTATGTTCTGTATCTACTGTTTTGTAACCTCTTTCTCATCGGTTTTTGTATTGGATCATTGTTACTAATTGCGATATATAAAACGCGATGAAGTTTATTTTCCAGGCTTTGTTTATTATTGTTGCTTAAAAGATTTCAAAATTATATTTTTCATTATTTTTAGGGTTTCGTAATTAGCTGGTCCATTTTACCGGTTGCTTAGATCATGGGGAGAGAGAGAGAGAGAGAGAGAGAGAGAGAGGCGCTCGGATT